GTGTGTTCAAGGGAAAGGATTATCGATGTTTTGCTTATCTTATAATCGAACACATATGTTTATTGCATTAAGAGCCAATTTTGATTAGTAGTTTGTTTCGGACAACAGAAAAGGATTGTCACGTTGCAGAAGATGTTGGCATATCAATCGGGTCATATCACTAAATTTTCTCGAATGTTTTGGGCATGAGACGTGTGGCAGCGAAGTTTGTTCCCAATTTGTTAAATTTTGAGCAAAAGCAATGCTGCATTAGTAACGCTTATCAGGTGATTTTTTGGCCAAAAAAAAAAAACTTAATTATACCTCAATGACGAATAAATAAGTACTTTTCGAAAAAATTCAAAATTCACCTTTTCCTTTGAACACACCTCGTACAATATTTTTCGTTATTTTAACTAGCCTTATGTCGAAATGTCTGTCAGTGTTTGAGTTATTTATTTATAAATTTCTTCAAAATATGTTCTCGAGATTACCTGAGCAACGCCAAAGATTAATACAAAAGCTCAGGCCTTCCTTGTCCCAATTGCCTTGTATAATGGCTTCCGACTCTTCAGCTGACTTTAAACCGATTAGGTTGATCAAAGTGATATTTTAATGAAGTTCAGTGAACAAGTTTTCTTAAAAATTCTGTGATTTAGCGCTGAATATGAATGGAGTTGGCCTAGGTCTTGCTCTAAACCTCATATCCCTAATATAATGAATTCCAATTTTAAATCAATATACAATATTAAATTTAGCCTTTTGGTTGAGTTTATAGCACATATATCTCAGTTGATGATTTTAATATAATTTTCGCTGACGGGAAATAAAATAAACTAATAAAACTAATATAGTATATGAACTATAATATAAGTTAATAAGCTACCAAATTTGATGGTAATTTAATAATGAATGTTGTATTCTTTAGCTACGTTCTTAATATAAAATTTTGCCAACATCAGAAGGTATTTCCCTGGTTTTAAGGCTTGTTAGTTGCAAGAGTATGAAATGTTCGGATACACCCGAACTATGCCCCTCCTTAATTGTTTTCAAATATTTATACTTCCGATTTTAGATTATTTTTAAATTTCTAGATTAGGCTTAAATTACTCTCGCTAGCTATAAATATGAATATACTAAATGAAGATTTATTCTGACCTGTAGATACTGGAAAAGGTCAAGCCGAAATATTAACCGTCAAAACCTAAATTCACCTTTCTCATTTTTATGTGGTGTACCGTTTTATTTATAAATTTCTGCCCAAATATATCTTTATCCATATTGCCCATATTTCTTTCAATCATAATCAAATTTTCGGGTTCAAAGTTTTGCTACCTTTGCCATTTTGTTAAGCTTTGTACGATGTAAAACCGGAGGAAAACACTTTGTTCGCTTTTTGAACAGCGTCGATCATTCAGTTCATGTTATAACAGATCGATAAATTGAAGGAATTACCAATAACTAATCTCCCTTCCACCGTATCCGAACCTAGCGACTCTTTCAAAAAATGAATCGCTTAAAAAAGATTTTATCCAAATGTCGAGGTCTCGAACTTCGCAGTTTCTAACCTATGTGTTGGCGGACCATAACAACAAATGGATTACTCTAGATGAATGTCATGTCGTCCAATTAAGCAATGTTTTCATGTATTGCTAGACCAAAGACTTTCAAGAACATTTAGTACTTTTTTGATATCAGAACCGCTCTAGTTAGTAATAGATTGAAAAAAGTTAAAGTACGGTTATCAGCAAACAAATCAAATATTTTGGTAAACCTAAGGCGATGGCAGGAATTCAGACGACTCTCCATTTGTCCATAACAGCAACATGCCCAACAGGAATTTGAATAGAAGCAAAGTCATCACCACACTATTCCTAAGAAACCATTTAACGTTAGATAAACAAGAAAAATTTAGCTTCGTCTGCACTGAAGCTATAATACCCTTCAAAGGTTTATTTCTTATAATAAATATGCTATAGTAATCCGAACTGAACAATATGTTCGGAGATTGTAGTTTTGCCTTTGACAATACTGATACACTGACAGCTATACGCTATAGTGGTCCGAATTGCGCAATATGCTGACCTATACAAGAAAAGCAGGCACTGTGCTTGGCCTGTGCTCAGGTGACTCTCTCGCCGCGATGTGATTTGATTTGAAAGTCACAAGGTGACTTCAGAGAAAACTGGCTGCCTCTATATAAATAAAGCAGGCACTGTGCCTGGCCAGTGCTTAAGGGACCCTCGCGCCTCGATATGATGGGATTTAAAATTCATGAGCTGACTTCGCGGGAAACTGGCTGCCAGCTAGATCTATATAAATAAAGCAGGCACCGGGCCAGTGCTTAGGTGACTCACATGCCTCGATATGATTTGATTTCAAAGTCATGAGGTGACTCTCACGCCACGAAGCAATTTGAATTGAAAGTCACAAGGTGACTTCAGGCGAAGCTGCCTGTTTGGCTTTAGAAACGAACACAACACTGTTAATCCATTACATCATTAGAATAAGAAAAGTCATAAGGAGCAATTTCCGAAGGAACCAATCTACAGGCATGGTATTAATGGACATCAAAGCTGCTTTTGACTCAGTGTGGCCCTTTTACAAAAGGAATCAATGATACTTTTCGATTGAATTAATTAAAATCATTAAAAACTTAAAAAAAAAAATTTCTCAGTTCATATTTGTAGTAACCAGTCTGCATACCTCGAAATCCCAGCTGGAAGTCCTCAAGGCGCTTGTTTGTTCTGGGGAACTTTCTGTAGATATAATCACTAAATTGTGTGAAGATATCTTGTGAAATAAAAGGTTTTCTATACAGGGAATCAACTATATGCTATAAAAGAACAATCCGAAAAATTAACAAAGGGGTCATTGACCCAAAATGTAAACAGAGGTTGTTGACTTGATTAAATGTAAACGAAATGGTCATTCATCTTTAAAATGTAAACAAAGGGGTCATTGAACTCGGCAATATGTAAACAAAAAGGTCATTGACCTCATAATGTAAACAAACGGGATGAATTCTTAGCTAAAATCGGATAATAGCCTCATCCACTCCCTATATAACGTTTTGTTAATAACTACTAACAATCCCATAAATCAATAAATAAATGTGTCAGAGAGATAAAATGTTACACCCAAAATGGTACAAGCAAGAGGGCTTAATAAAAGCCGGTATCAAAATTGGATGAGAGGCGTGGCACCGCTCACCTTTAGATGAAACCCCATATCTGTTGACCTACTCAACCAATTTCATCCAAATTCGTTGTTGACATTATTCTGACATTCCTATGTTATAGTATAAAAATGGGCAAAATCGAATCGAATCGCCATCTCAAGCCTAAAAATTGTTAAAATCGGACCATAACTGTTCAAGCCCCCAGATACAGAAGATGTGAACCCCAGTGCCTATAGCTGACTTTTTACCTATGTGCCATACAGCACGTGCTACAACCGAACTATTGCGAGAAAAGCTTGGAGATTCGATAATTTCCAGAAATTGTAACATTGAATGGCCTCCAAGAAGCTGTGATTTAACATCGTTACACTACTTCTGTGAGCTTTTTCGAAGTCATTGGTCTTTAGCAATAAACCAGACTCTCTTCAAGCTTTAGAAGTTAATATTGAACTTGCTATTCATGACATATGACTGGATTTAGTGGAAAAAGTACTCGAAAATTGGGTTCATCGAATTCGTTCCTGCAAAAGAAGTCGTGGAGGCCATTTGAATGATGGTATATTCAGAACTTAATTGTTTCGATTGTACTTCACAATAAATAAAACACATTTGAATTTCCTTAACAATTAGTATATGTGTGTTTTTTTTTTTAATCATATCACTCTTATTGGAAAACCCTGTACATCAATCAATGTGTAAGATATATAATTGAAATTCTTTTAGCCCCCTAATAGCTAATAAAAATAGTTTCGAACTTCCGACTGACTTTACCCCGCATATATCGACCAATATTTGTGTTATCTTAGTAACAGTAAGTATAAGTGATGGTATATGAGATACCTTTTTCATTCTTCAGTACTTCAACTCCCATATACCACATAACTATCGATAGTCGGCTTACTCGATAGTTTCGATAGCTTTCCCCCTTGAAATCTACTTACTTTCCGTTTATTTAAATTAAGATTAAAGGTTGTTGACTTATCTAAATTTAAAGAAAAGGGTCAGTGACCTCATTAAATGTAAACAAAAGGGCCATTGACCCCATAAAATGTAAACAAAAGAGTCATTAACCCCAAATGTCAACTAAGGATGCTGACTTAGCTTAAACTAAACAAAAGTTGTAGACTTGGCTAAATGTAAACAAAAAGATCATTGACATCATAAAACATAAACAAAGGGGTCATTGAACTCTGCAAAATGTCATTGACCACCTGTGATGAGTATTAGAGCTCCGGTACAACTGAAGTTAACGTAAAAAACATAAAATAACATAAAATTTTGATACACCTAAATGAAAATGGATATACATGGCTTTGATCCCTGCAAGCTGCAGGATTATTAAGCGTTCGGTTACACCCGTACTTAGCTCCTCCTCACTTTTTTTAATTGCTTCTTATAGTTTCTCAGATTATGAAAATAAAATAGCACCAAATACGCCTACATAACGGTGTATTTGTTGTGATAAATTAATGGTTAAACATATAGCATATAGGAAATAAATTCCAAGTGGCAGCATTATTTGTTGAGTAAATATCTAACAAAAAAGAAATATTAATGTCTAAAATACAGTGTTTACCTTAGATCTTAGAAATAGAATATTTTTTTCTTTTTTCTCTCTGATATTTTTCCAAACACTTAACGTTGTCAAAAATTTAAAAGATCCATCTCTACGTACATGCATACATATTGTTTACCTGAACTACCTGACATGAAGTGTGAAGACAAAACTTACGGATTCTAACGGGGTATTTTTAATCAATCAAATTTTATTTTCACTTAATTTTAGGGAAATGGTAGCTCTATTGCGAAAAATGAAAGAAGTGAAATGAATAATTACCTATTTGACAGTTTATTAACACGACACATGTCGGTAAAGTAGTGTAAATCAAACGTTATAGAAAGATTGCTGACGGTGACTAATGAAAAAGCGATCCAAAAAGTGTAGGTGAAAATTATAAAGCTACAAATTGTAATTTAATTACAAGAAATACGTGTTAAATTATTTAGGAAAAATACACTTCAACAGACAAAAATCTTTGAGTGTGAAAAGTTTACTAATAGTGCATCGAAAATAAAAACCCAACCCAAAGCAGAGGTCAGCAGTGAGAAAAAAGAAAGCAACTACGCCAACGTCGACGAAGGCAAGTGCAAGAAGAATAAGTAAAGGAGTGAACTATAAGCAACATTTTAAGAAAGGGCCATAAAGGTGATATCTTTAGTGCAGTCGGGAAAATAAACTAATAAAATAATTACAATCATTTAAACAGCTTATATTTAAATAATGTCATCCGGCGAGTTTGGCAATCCCCTGCGCAAATTTAAGCTTGTGTTCCTCGGCGAGCAGAGTGTCGGTAAGACTTCGCTGATCACACGCTTCATGTACGATAGCTTCGACAATACTTATCAGGCGACAATTGGTATTGATTTTCTTTCGAAAACCATGTACCTTGAAGATCGAACCGTACGACTGCAATTATGGGATACTGCCGGCCAAGAACGCTTTCGTTCACTTATCCCATCATATATTCGTGATTCTACAGTAGCGGTTGTTGTCTACGATATAACAAATACAAATTCTTTCCACCAAACCTCCAAATGGATTGATGACGTTCGCACGGAACGAGGTAGTGACGTCATTATCATGTTAGTAGGCAACAAGACAGACTTATCGGACAAACGACAGGTGTCCACCGAAGAGGGTGAACGCAAAGCAAAGGAGCTGAATGTGATGTTTATCGAGACGAGTGCGAAGGCCGGTTATAATGTGAAGCAGCTATTTAGACGTGTAGCGGCTGCGTTGCCTGGAATGGACTCGACAGAAAATAAACCCTCGGAAGATATGCAAGAGGTTGTGCTAAAAGATTCACCAAATGAATCAAAGGATCCCGAGGGTGGTTGTGCCTGCTGAAGAATCAACGAATGTAGTGAACGATCTAAAAAATATTAAAAACAATTATATAATTATAGCAGTCTAGAGCACTGAATGATAATTTAACAGTATGAAGATGACGATGTAGAAAAGTATAAAAAGGCTTAAGAAGAGATACACAATTTTATATTTAAGTTTATTTATAACGTAAATAAAACTAAAATCGATTAACTGAATAATCAATTGATCTTTATGATGGATAGTAGGCGCATAAAAGCATTTAATATATATGAGTAAATTATATTACAATTAGTACTGAAACGGTCTGAAGAACAATTGCTGAACCAAATGCTGGAATTGTTAAGCATATTTCAGCAAAGAACAATTGGTAGTTGGTGAGATTACTGATAGTTCTGTGCATACAAAGTAAAAGCAACATTAATACAACTAAGCATTTGAAAAATTGTGAATCCTAAAATTACATACATACATATTTATGTAGCTTAAAATATTGTGGAATGATCATAAAAATGCCGGCCTACTTAAAAGCATAATAAGCAAATGCACCTGACACTTAATTAGCGTATAAAATTTAAGAGCCTATACGAAATGCATTTGCTAACTCCAGCGTTACAATTTTGCCGAGTGTGTATTTTTAAAATAATTATTTAAATTTTATTTTTCTTATGCATGCACAGACATCGCTTTATGCTAAACCATAAAGACAAAACACACAATTTATAAATTATAAAAATCTTTGTTTTAATATCTGCCCAACCTAAATTATACATAATTTCTCAATCAGTCTGTGTACTTATATGTATATAGTCATATAAAATTTGAACTTGGTTTGTGTAAACTAACCATAAAGAGATAAATGAAAAAACGAAATGATGTGCATAAATGGTACGCAAATAATATTTAGTTATTAATAAGAGTCAGCTAAATTTGACAAGTTGTGCAAATAGAAAGTGTATAAAAAAGATGAAACATATGAACTTTGTTAAATTGAAAAATAGGTAATTTGTTTTTTATTCGGTATTGTTTACGCAGACTATGGTATATAATTGAATTTAGACATGTAGAGAAATACATACTTGTATAGGCTGCTAATTTTTTACAATCGATACATGGATATTTCAGTTAGATACACTTATATACAATACAATTTTATAAACATAACTTTTAAAACTGCTTAACATTCCTATTTATTTACATGGCAATCTGTGTTTATTGTTTAATTTTTGTTGATGTAAAACAAAACATTCTTATCTTTTAATATCCAATTGAGTTATTTACTTAACTTTCTTATGGAAAATTAATTGAACAATTTGACGTGACGGCTAATTGAGTTTAAAAGATGGTAGAACCACAATTTACAAAATTTATACCATGTACTTCTACCCGCTCATAAAGTATGTTTAAATTTGAATTTCTGAAATATTTATATAAAATGCGCGTTGCATTGCTTATTGTCAAACTCGGATTCATGATTTTGATTCCTTATTGAAATATCATAAATTCAGACACAGACCTGTTTGTATGTATGTTACATTAAGTTTTGGTAATTACTCAATTAACTTTTTACGATGACATGAGGAAGTTACAAAAATACCAAACATTTATTTATCAGTACCTGCTGTTGCTATTCATACTTTTACTTCCTCCAGTGTGATTATTATAATTTCTGCTAACAATATTTATAGTATAAAAATGCATTGTAAAACAAAATGCATCTATACGTAGGTTTGCTCACCGGCTACCACTGTGTGTTCAAGCATATGAAGATTAGAGCAATGTCTTGCTGAAAAATAACAAAGTATATATTGTAGTTAATTGCAAAGCCGACAGTCACATTCATTTTAAATACACATATTCAGACTAACACAACTAAAGATTTAAAATAAAATGACAAAGTAAAAACGTGATGATTTAATAATATTACAACAAATTGGGTCATCTTATTATCAATGACATGCAAAATTTGACTAGCTTCGAATTAATGGCCGCCAAAATTAAATTTCTAATGCAGCTTAACATTAAAATTAATTAAATTATGAGATTGCGATCAGTGTAGTAAAAAGCAAATAACACAAGCAAGCGTAAAGAAGTTTATATAAAAAATTAAAAGTAAATTAAACATTTTAAGCAAATTACACATTAAGTTAAAGCATTTGAATGATCAGTGGAAATTGCACTTGCTACGTGAAAATATTTTTAAAGGAATAACATATTGCAATAAAGTTTTTTGAAATAATCCATTATGTAATTTTGTGTTTTTCGTACATTTTTCATGTAAGTAAGAAAGTAAATAAACTTGTTGCTGTGGAAGAAAAATAATTCTAATTCAACACGCAACACTCAGATCCTACGTAAATTGTTTACATTCCACCACACAAGAACAAAAGCTGTATACATACGTTAATTCCTTGACACAATATTTTTACAGCAACAGTAATGTCAGTTTAATTGTGTTTACGTTCTTAAGGCTAAGTATAATGTAAACAATACATTTTTAAAGGAAATAATTATTAATATTTAAAAGTAAGCCAAATGGTATGGTAGCCTCATACATCGAACATGTTGATTCAAGTAATCAGCCAACAAAATTTTTGTTGCCTTCGCGTCGTCCTTGTGCTGTTAGCATAATTTGACCAGAGCACGTTCCTTTAAGTTCTCTGATTTTAACACATTTACCGATTGAGCTGAACAATGTGATTGATTGTCTTTTGTAAATTGCAAATTGAAACAATTATAAACTTTTATCAACTACAATTATAAATAACTTGGAGCAACATTCATTTGATTAGTAAGTGTGCATTAGTGTATGTATTTAAATATATTTGATTTTATTGCTTTATAAATTTGATTGTAAATATATACATTCATAGTTTTTAGGAGATGATCTATTTATATATATATTGATACTCACAAGTACTTCACATGGAAAAAAATGGCAGCAATCGAAATTGGAATCTAGAATTTATTGGCGAAATATGTACAGACTCATGCATACAAGAGGTGCGCTTATGGCGCAAAACGTACCAAAAGGATTATATATTTAGAATTGTAATTTTCATTGCACTAAGTGCATTATTTAGAAAATGTGTGTAATATTTTTATTTATTTTTAAATTTGTTTCATGAAAACGCCTTTTTGCATTCATGTTTATTATATTTATTGTTTAAATATACGTAAATTTTGTTTATTTTTCTTCAAAGTGTGTTTATTCGTTGTCGGAGCAATAAAAAAGTATATGGTAACTCTTAGAGGTTATCAGTTGCTGTATACTTGTATTTTTCGCATCCACCTCCTGCACGATTTTGGGCGCCTGGTAAAATTTGGTGATTCGTAAAACCGGATTTCAGCGTCGCATCGAGTGACTGCAACATGTTCGAAGCAACCCCGATTCCATCATGTTTGAAAGTACTTATGCAACGTGTTGCATCGACTTCTATCATCCACCTACTGCACATTTCTGGGCGCCTGGTGCAAATCGACGATTTGTAAAATGAATTTCAGCGCGCACATGACGACGACGCCGGCGCCACTGCCGACATGAATATTGAGTGAATGAGCGAATGAGACTGAATTTGTTACTCTCTAGCCGATTGAATTTTAAAAAACAATTAAATTTACTAACCCATTTTAAAGGATATTTTATTGGATAAAGTAGATTTCACAAATATTATTACTCAAATTATTAGGCGTTCGAGATTTTATGCGAATAATTATTTGAATTTGCAAACACTTTCAAAGCATTTGATTATAATTTGCATATATAATACGAATAGCAGGAAATAAATTATTGGTACTTTTGTGTCGCATCAACTTTAGAAGCTATCTTCATTTGTAATGAATTCGTCACGTATTTTATTGAGCTTGGTTATCAAATCGGTGACTGAGACTTCGCCGTGCACCTTGTTGTCGCGTGTACGGACATTCACCGTGTCAGAAGAACGTTCCTTCTCACCCACCACCAGTATGAAATTGAATTGCGCCAACTGTGCATTACGTATCTTCTTATTCAATGTATCACCAGCATCCGTATCAGCTTCTGCCATAAATCCAGCTGAATGCAACTTGTCACGTACAGACTGTGCGTACTCATCGTATTGCGGACCGACGGGCACAACCATCACTTGACGTGGCGACAACCAGAATGGCCATTTGCCGGCATAATTTTCCGTAAGAATGGCAATCATACGCTCTACCGAACCGAGAATAGCACGATGGATTATGACCGGTCGTTTCTTTTCGCCATCATCGGCGATGTAATTTAAATTAAAACGCTCGGGCAACTGGAAGTCCAATTGTATTGTAGCACATTGATGAGCACGTTTCAGTGCATCCATAATGGTAATATCAATTTTGGGTCCGTAAAAAGCGCCATCGCCGGGATTTTCTTTCCAAGGTAATCCGAATTCATCCAAAGACTCGGCGAGTGCCTTCTCAGCAGTATTCCATTGCTCCAACTCGCCAAGATATTTTTCAGGACGTGTCGAAAGAACGAGATTGAATGAGAATCCGAATATGGTGTATACGTGTCGCAAGAAATCCAAACATCCCTTCATTTCGTTCTTTATCTGTTCAGGAGCGCAGAAAATATGCGCATCATCTTGTTGGAAACGTCGTACACGTGTGAGTCCAGTAAGTGCACCAGAGAGTTCATTTCGATGCAATACACCGAAATCAGCCATACGTAGAGGTAGTTCTCGCCACGATCGATTGCGGTTGTCGAAAACGAGACTGGAATGAGAGACACATTGAGTATCGATTGTAATTATTTTGAAATAAATTTCACTTACCAATGTCCTGGACAGTTCATAGGTTTAAGTGCAAATTTCTCTTTCTCCACTTCGAATGAAAACATATTTTCAGCATAGTGCTGCCAATGGCCCGAAGTCAGCCACAGTTTTGAGTTAAATACATTTGGCGTAATGACTTCTTGGAAACCACGTTTTCGATATTCCGTTTTCATGAAATTCATCAGTGTGTTATAAATATGAGCACCACGCGGTTGGAAGAAGCAGGAGCCTGGCGATAATTCGTGGAAGAAAAACAATTCCTGTTCTCGACCAATTTTACGATGATCACGTTTAGCTGCTTCTTCTTGTATTCTTTCCCATTCCTTCAATTGTTTCGGATCAGGGAATGAAATGCCATAAACTCTTTGTAATGTTTCTGCGTCAGCTTTGCCTTCCCAATAGGTAGAGGAGTTCTTCGTAATCTTCAGAGCTTTAACTTTGCCAGTATGACGCACATGAGGACCACGGCATAGATCAATAAGGGAACCACACTTGTAAACAGTGGTTGTCTCTGTATTGACTTTCTCGTTTAAAATGCGCACTTTGAATTCATTGTACTTAAACATTTCCAATAAATCGGCTTTTTTCAATTCCAAACGTTCGAATGGTTGTTTCTCTTTAACAATCTGTTTAACAATACCCTCCATACTAGCATAATCGTTGGTAGAAATCTAGAACAATATACATATAATCATGCCTTTTATACGTATATGTGAAGAACACTTACACCGTCGCCATCTAAATGCATATCGTAATAAAAGCCATTATCTATTGGTGGTCCATAGCATAAATGCCCTCCATATATGCGTTCCATAGCCTCACCCATGATGTGCGCTGAACTATGCCAAAAAACAGCTTGTGCCTCAGGATCATCGAATTTAAGCAGTTGCAAATTACAATCTTCCTCAAGTACACGATCCAAATCCCAAACTGCGCCATTCACTTTCGCCACAACGGTATTATCAGCTAGACCTTGGCTAATACCTTTCGCAACATCGTAAGGTGTGGTCTCCCATGAGGTCGCATCAACTTGCTTACCATCGGGCAATGTTACCTTAATAGCTGTACGGGTTTTGCCGGCCAACTCAGCTTCCCGCTCGACCTTTAATTTTTCCCAGAGCGCATTACGCTCTTCAATATACCTTGGCCAAGGATTTAATTCTGAAATTTTAATAATTAAAACAAGTACATAGACAGTGAGAAAAATCAATTGCACACTTTTTCTGCACATACACATTGATATATACTTGAATAAGCATATTAAAATATGACACATTCAGTTGAATTGATTTTCATTTATAATTTTACTCACCTTTCTTGCCGGTTTCAGCAGGTGCGTTCTTTTGTTTCTCTTTCTTCATTTTTGAAACCTAGAAAAGTTAAAAAAACAAATTATTAACTCTACTTGATTTATAAAAACATAAATGTATGTTTAGCTAACTGAGAAGGTATGTGTATGTATCAAGGTTGTCTTAAAAAGAAAAACATTAAATTAAAAGCACAAGCTTTTAACATAATTAACATATTTATGACATTACTTATGTACAAACGTACAAGTACTGAAAAACAGTAAAATAATGTATGGAGTCTTTTCTTTTACAATAAAAGTTAATTACTTAATTAACTGTTTCTCAAAGGTAACTTTGCCACTTCACCTAATTTCTTTAACTGCCAACTTGGCTTTTAGATATATTTTTTTTATATAGACAGTGACTGATGCAATCTTCTACGAGTTTGATGAGTTTGTGGTATACAATGTCAAAACAAAATTGTACTGAAAATAGTTTCAATTCTCTTCTCTCTTTTTCACACTCTACGCCGCAACATTTTGATGTCTAATCTGTTTTTGTTATGAAGTATTACTATCAATGTTTGTATGAATCATGCGCATGCACCACGCGGCTATTAGCTTGAAAGACTTAATGTTAATGGCTTTTGATTTGGGTGCAGGTAAAACAACAAAAAATATTAACTGTTTCCATTTCATTTAGATATATATAGCATATATATATTAAACTATTTTGTAGACACCGACCAATGTTGCGTAGCGCCGACAGAAAGTCTCTTGTGTTGATCCGCTTCTTTGAAGGATGTTAGTCTTGTTGCTTTTTGCATCTAATAAATACCCTAGTCGCTGGCGTAGCAGTTTTGTGGAATTCGTCCGTTCATTTTCTATGTTACCACTAACACCAACAAAATATGATTGCGATTTGGTAACTACGGCAATGTGGCATTGAGCGAATAGGTGTCTGATACCGGGTAGTATAAGGTAAGATCTTGGCACACCTGTCACTTGTACAATATTATACATAACGTATTCACTTCACTAAGCTACAAAAGCTAATTTAATCACAAAGTAATTATAAATAAACATGCCTCGAAATTGTTATCCAAAAATTAAATTCCTGCACCACGTTTTGCGAAATCCCGTTGCAGCGAAAACTGTCAAAACTAAACTGTGCGAAAAGTGATGCCATATCAGTAAAACTCTGTGCACGTTTAAAAGAAAGTTTGAATTATTTGATACGCGTATGGTAAAATTTCGATTAAGTTTTTTTTTCTTTTGATAGTTTCTATAAAAAAAATTCGTTTATACATATTCGATAATTTAAACTGTACATTTTGTTTTTGATATGTGAACATCGAAAAATGGCATACTTTTAGGCGGCAAATGAATTTACAAAAAAAAACGAAAAAAAAAGTGTTGCCTAGAATAAAATATTTACCGTTCGTTTATGCGTATATCCGGTACCAACTTAATGTCAAAGATTCCGTTTATAAAAACTAACAGCGGGAGAGCTTTGTTAATGAGAATTAAATATACATATATCTAACACAGAAGAAGAGAGTTGTTTTCAGTCTCTTTCAGTATATATAAAACGCGTTTAGTTTGCTTATTTTCACACTTGTTTTTATTGCGTTACTCTCAAATACCTCCACCAACTGTCAAGGACTATTACAACCCAAAAGCTGTTCAGTTAGTTATTGATTTCGTTTTTGCTAAACTTTGCAGTATATCCTCGATAAGTTCCTCAGAGCAAACGTTCTAGCAAATTAATTTACTAATTTATAGCTTTTATTTATATGCAGTACTTCAATTCCAAATATTTTTATCATTTTAAGTACAATAAAAGTGAAAATTTTTGTAACAGTTGATTAGTTGGGAATTTTAAGTTTCATAAAACGAAGTGAACAGTGAAAAGAAAACAAGATTTCCCATCTACTTAAGAATCCGCTCCATCAATCGCCTACGGCTTCGGGCACTGTGATTGTGGAGAGAACGGATTTTTATAACGTGGCCAGCGGCGACATCATCAGAACGCAGCACAGTAAAGTGCACCCTAGTCCGGGGGCCGCCCGCAGTGTGTGGGCGTTGCCCCTGACATCATGTAACATGGTCGCTGAAGAAGATAGCGCCGCCAACACGGAAGAACGTCCGCACTCACCACCGTCGTTACGTCGTGGTGTACGTAGCGGCGTAGGTGTGAACAATGTTGGCGACAGAGTTGGACACACGGCTGGAGGAGATGGCGCCATCGACGATCACGATGATAGCAATATACTGCTATTCGAGGGTCTTGACGGTGCTATGGCACATTTAGATGATATATTCGATGTGATAAAAAATGGCGAAGTATGTGATGTGGAAAATTTAGTAGAGAAATTCGGAATAGAATGTTTGTCGGCACGGGATAGACATGGTTATACGCCAGGCCATTGGGTTGCCTTAAATGGCAATGTGGAAATGATGCGTTATTTAATCGAACGAAACGCACCAGTTGATTTACCCTGTCTGGGTACACAGGGCCCGCGACCAATACACTGGGCGTGTCGCAAAGGTCATGCGGCTGTGGTGCAAGTGTTGTTGCAGGCTGGTGTTGCTGTAAATGCGGCTGATTTTAAGGGTCTTACACCGCTAATGAGCGCCTGTATGTATGGCAAGACAGCCACTGCTGCTTACCTACTCGGCATGGGTGCGTTAAATCATTTAACGGATATAAATGGTGACACCGCTTTACATTGGGCAGCCTATAAAGGCCATGCCGATCTAATGCGTTTGCTAATGTACTCTGGTGTTGAGCTACAGAAAACTGATAATTTCGGTTCGACACCATTACATTTAGCTTGCCTTTCGGGCAATATGACCTGTGTACGTTTGTTGTGTGAAAAATCCAATATGGATTTAGAGCCACGTGACAAAAATGGTAAAACACCGATAATGTTGGCGCAGGCACATCAACATCAGGACATTGTGCGTTTGCTATACAATGAAGTGAAGAAAAAATCACGCTGGATTCCGTCGATTTCAGAAATTTGGGGCTGGTTATTTGGTGGCGCTGGCGATTCAAAGGGACCATTGCTACTTTTTTTATTCTCAGTACTATTATGGGGATATCCTATGTATATGATAAGGGTAAGATTTTCATGTATCAGCGGCTAAAGATACTACAAATTAAAACGCATTATTTAACAATAAATAATATGTTAATTAAAAAATTGAAGATGATAATGATACAAACAAACAGAGTTTAAAGGAGTCGGTGCTAAGGCTTGCAGCTCCTTTATAAAATAACTTAGCATTTGTAGCACACAAATACATTTTAAAAGACAATTATTTATAATTATTTAATTCATATTTTTTCATATACTTTTTATAAGGCTATACCAATTACCTGGAACATACTTCGGAGGTCTCATTATTGTTTCATCTATTGGAATGCTGTCATGTGGATCAGTTGGGTTATTGCGAATCGCCGTGACCCCGGCTACATACCGCTCAGCTCGGACGCTTACTATCGCGCCATCAAGCAAATACCATATTTTGATAAGTTGAAAAAACGTAATGTAATATTGACGCGTTTGTGTCACAGCTGTCGTTGTTTACGACCGTTGCGTGCCAAACATTGTCGCGTCTGCAACCGTTGTGTTTCGTATTTTGATCATCATTGTCCATTCATCTATAATTGTGTGGGCTTGCGAAATCGTATGTGGTTTTTCTTGTTCGTACTGTCAGTGGCTGTGAATTGCTCGTTTACTATTTACTTTGCTTGTTATTGTGTAATGATTGAGGGCTTTACATTGCTCTATGTCTTGGGTTTGTTGGAGGCGGTGGTCTTTTGCGGACTCGGTTGGATATTGACTTGCACTTCGGTATGTTGCATTGATAACACATAATAATTTACATATACATGTGTGTTACGCTATTTTATCAACTATACTTTCTTCACAGATATTACATGCCTGCATGAATCTCACCACGAATGAGATGTTCAATTATAAACGTTATCCATATTTACGTGACAAGCGTGGCCGTTATCAGAATCCATTCTCACGTGGTCCCATACTGAATTTATTGGAATTCTTTGTCTGTCTACCTGATCGGATTGATGAAAATGATCTACTCATGGAGGATAATATTTGATTGAAAAGTTAGGTACGCGCTAATGCGCGGCGCCGTAAAATACCAGCACATGGATAATAAATAGCTTAATACAAATGAGCGGGCATATAAGATCCCCTCCAGGCAGCTAAAGGCACATTGAATGAAGGATAGCTATTTAGCTTAAAGAGAAATTCACCACGCGGCTTAAGTCTACAAAACATTATTACAAAGAAAAAAATTAAGAATGACTGTGAAAGGTGTAAGGATTTAAATTCCATACTTGTATATTGTTATGCAAAAACTTATTAACAAGTTTTAAGAAAATTACGCGTTGTATGTGGTAAGATGAAAAATGCCGAAAGGCATTCTAATAATACTTGTACAAATATTAACCCCAGGATGGTCCAAGCACATTGTTTAAAACGTCTCAAAAGCTCATTTACATATGCATTAAATCGAAATGTGTTAATTGAAATGAAAAAAAAATATATATATTTGGCAACATTTTTTAAAATACCGTTTTCAAGGATTCTGGTCGACGTGACTGAAACGATCCGAATTTGGCTTGGTAGTCTTTATACGAGTATGTTGTGACGCAAATTGTGTAAATTAATTTATTAATATGCGTATAGGGTTAAAAATAAGCTTAGAATTTCTATATAAGCAGTATATCATATCCGCCTTAACAACTCTAATATCGAGTAAAACAAATTACGAAAGTTTCTTATAAATTATTGATGTTGCCAGCAATGTAAACTGCTGGAAAAATAATGAAAGCAATAAAAAAAAGAAAATACTTATATGAATTCGCGTAGCACGCAACATTTTCTCATAGCAGTAATAAAAATAAAAAAAAAGTTTCGCACAACACAATTTAAAGGGTTTAAATTCATAAGTTTGTTATTTCAAAAAAATGCACACTTTGTCTAGCTTAAAACATGTAAAAATACCATAAATATATGTAGTTTGTTGTTCACACGAAAGCTATAGCGGCATAATCGTGAATAAAAATATTGCATATTATGAAAAAAATACAAATATCTATTATTTATATAATAATTGGTTAATCTTGTTTAAACTTCTTGTTTTTGGTTGTAGTTACTTGTAGATTGGTATAAAATATTATACAAGTCCCGCTACTTAGGGATCTACAGACGCCATATAAACATAGAGAACAATACAAATTGTTAATATTGTATTAAATTTAGACTTACTTTACTTTGGCATGTTTTTCGAAAATAGATCCTTGGAATTACTTATTTGAGTTATCATCACAACTTCAATACATAAACATACAATCATGCAAGGCACGCAAAACACCTTTCTAACTATCAAAACAAAAATCATAGTTTTCTGGATCTTCGGGTATTGGCGGTGGATCTTTGCTAATGTCCACACCTTCGGTGTCCAGTAAACGCAATTTGATTTCCATAGACAATAAAGTGTCAAAATCTTCTTTCTTTTGTTTACTTGTCATTTCCTGACCCAGTAAAGCATTTATACCATCTGTCCAATAATGAAATGTAGTCTCATCTGGTGCTACAAAATCCAATGTAGTATTCTCCATACAATCGAGCGTAATAGAGAATGCCAGATTACCGGCATTTTTACGTGTACGCATTTCTTTCATATGTGGACATTCCTTGCCCTCAAGCAGCTGTTTTATATCGATAACGGCCACTTTGTTGGTAAGTTCTTCGAGAGTTGGCACGGTTTTCTCATCACAATCACCATAATGTATAACCTTGTGATTGGGTGAGAGGCGAGCATACCAGAATTTATCTTTTGAGCGTGTGCCGCGTGAGTATTTGGAAAAGCGGGTGCCTAAAAGAAAAAAAAAATTAAACAAAAAAACAAATTCAGTATTTAAATATTAAACAATTAAATTGCAATTAAGCTCACCTTCTACCAAATAAGATAGGCGCTGCTGCTTAATTAAGTCGATTATATGTGGTGAGATCTTTTCTTTCAACTTGACAATAGCCGATGCTGTGGAGTCGCATTCCTCCTTTGATATGCGTTCTTGTTGACGTAAATTAGTGATCGTTTGATAAGTTAATAAAGCAATTTTGGCACGAAACTCTTCTAGATTTTCCGGGCGTTCCTTGAGTGTGCGTATGATTTGTTCACGCACTACACTGAATACCTTTTGAAAATCTTCCGCTGTGGCGCGCATATCCTTCCACGTGCGATTTAACGTTATAATACAAATGCAAAAGAACTCTTCAAAAGGATGATCATGCGTAAAGAACATTGGTTGAAAATCTGCCGATTGCTCTGCTGGCGGTTCACCAATACGTAGTATATCGCAAAGCACCTTTACCAATTCAATGGAGGTGCGACCAAAAGGACATTCATGTTCGTCGGCACGACATGAGTTTTCGTGTACAATTTTTGTATACTGTTGTGTATAAGTACGTGCAAAGTATACCATGCAATCTAATGCCAAAATACCTACAAGTATGCGAATAAGTATAGTTTAGTCAACATGCGTATGTGTAGATTCTCTAGCACTTACCTGGTGGCGTTTCAATGAAGTCCTGTGCCGGATTGATGTCGCATTTAAAACCCAATTTCTTATAAAATTGCGAAAAATTTACATTGCCACCACCTGAGCCGCCACCAGAGCGTCGCAAATGCTCTTCACCCATACCCATTTGACCAGAATAATCATCGAATGCAATGCGACGCAATTCTTTGATTTTATCGTGCGCATCCTGATCCTGTGCGTTCATTTTCATGCGCATTCGTTGCTCTAACAAGCCCAAAGTGAGCGTTTGTAAAACATACAATTGATGAGTCATCTCCATTTGGCGTCCCGAGGCATTGCCAATCAATGCCAAACGATAAGGTTTTGCACTAATTGTATGCGCAATTTGCCGCTTGCGTGCTTCGTCCGCCTTCATGAATAGAGCATTGATTAATGCAATAGCATTCTGTTGTGTTGTTGCCGAATTGGCATCTTGCAGTAGACGTAGCAAATCTTGTAGTGTGACATCTTTTTCGACTAGCACATATTTACTGCTATTTTGCACAATATTCTCCAAATTGGAGAGTGCACTTTGGGTACATTCTTTGGGAAAATGTTGGAAATTACAAACAATATAAATGTTTCGTTGTACGAATGTGCTTTGCAATATTTCCCAAGAAATTGTATCATGCTCCATTAGTTCGACGAAGCTTTGCAAACTGTATTTCAATATATCGTCATCTTTCTGTGAGGGATCCTCTATCATATTGATAATAATACCCAGACCTTGTTCTTTGATGAACTCCATAGCGAAAGTATGATCCTTGCTAAGTGTAGCAAGTTGCTTTAAACATTTCGTCTTCTCCACAATGGAACCCGAACGCAATGACTCGAGTGTATCATTTGCGGTTTTCGATGGAGAATATGACAAATGTAATACTGAACCGTTTTTGATTTCATTACGATTTTTCTCTGTGACATATTTTTGATTATTCACATCACAGAATTCCAGAGCATAATTTTGTGGATCTGCTATATCCCAATAACTGCAGATTTCTTGAATTTTACCTGTAAAAAAACAAAAACAAACAATAATAACTTGTATATGTAATAATTTCAGCGATATTTTATAAAAACAGAAATAATAACAAGCATACTTTGTTATGTTTTAACTGTAATATGCAAAAAGCTATTTTTATATTCATACAATTGTAACTGTTTGTTTATAGCAAAGGAATATTTAATGTAAATTGGGTGAACGTGAAAATACTTATAAAGATAGCCTGTCTGTATGAAGGTATGTAACTGATAAATAAAAGATTTTTAGTTTGTATGTCTGCCATTACATTGCTTCCTGTTGTGGGTGCTGCATTTGAAATGCAAGCTACCATAAATGCGGAAGGGCGTTGCCCAGTTTATATGGCTGGTATATTTACCCCACACAGTGCATCGTCAAGTGTTTAGCCCTAGCAATTTATACAAACATTACAAATTTTTTCATGTGTGTTTACCCGTTAAAGGTTGTCGCTGATCCAAACATATTAGTTGCGGCACATAGTTCTCCAACTCCACAGCAATTTTCACGATGTGTGCATCTTTGACCAGAGTTTTTTTCGGTATCATGTTTACGAAAGCTTATTTCCTTACTTTTTCAATGCTTTTATGAATAAATAATTAATTAATTAATATATATCACCACACTAAATTATTTGTTGAAAAAAAAACAGTTAATATTAAACACTTTAGTAAAATCAACTGAAATGAAAACTGATTAACAGTCTTCTTCTTCGCATGAATATATTCACAATAACAAGGATGACAAACAAAACATTGGCGTATGTAGGAGGGTCTCTAGTAAATACTAAGAAAAGGGGTTAATGTCAAGTTTTGAAAATGTACAATTAGAACAAAATTTCTGTAGTAATTACATATTATATTTAGTCAATAAAATTTTAAAAATAAAATACGAAAAACGCAAAAAAGAAGTTAAAATATTGCAATCTAAATAAATAACATAAAAATTTTGAGCTGTTCGGTGAGAAAGGCTTATTAAACCTATTCTATTTAAATAAAACACAAGATTTATTAAGTATGGAACGCTAAGATTTATTGAGATTAAATTTGCAATAAACATTCAGTAACAATGTGTGTAATGAACGCATTTGAAGCAAATTAGGGAATTCAGTGCTACAACGGTATGCTTTGCAATCGACAATTAGAAGCATATTGGTTAATAAATTTATTGTATAAGTATATGCTCGTTAATTCAAGCGGTCGAAGTTGTGGGTAGTGCAGCCAAAACCTCATCAATAAATCCATCGGGATTCTCAATCAAATGCAATAAACCTGAAATAAATATAAATTAGATTATTTTATGTATGTTTAATTAAATATGATATAAGAAAATAATAATACCATATACGAGTACCTTCTCAATGAGTTGTAAGCAGCACATTGCGCTTACACATAATATACACATATGTCGCATATTTAATTAAAATCAAAGTAACTCACCAGCTACATCGCAAAATTCGCCGAAAGATGTGCACGGTAGATATTCATCGGTGAAAGTTTGCAAAATCGTATCGGTTGACTTTAGCATAGCTTCGTCATTTTTACGTATATAATCGAATAAAGAAATCGACCAGTCCTCCTCTTTCGGTGTGCTCACCGACTTGAATAGAACGCTATAAGTTAAATCGATGAGTGCCCACATCATAAAGAACGGACGATAAACGCTATAATCCTTGGTCTGGCGATCGCTCGGCGAAAGTAATGCTTTGCATAATACAGACGGTGAAATGTGACGCGCTTGCGCTACAGCTATCAAACGTTTTAGGTGAGCCAACTTGTGCTTATTCCACGTTTCGTGACTGTGTAGTGCTAACGAAATGGTCAACATATACAGTGGACCCTCGACCTCATAACCACATTCCAACCACTTGTCTGATGGCGCTGCTGTCAAGTATGCAATCAACGTTTTGCAATCACGTGCTGCTGAGCGAGAGGACAATAATAAGTATACTGCATAGAAAAGTAAGTAGGGCACAAAGTGCATATTTGATTGTGGACCACCACCGCCGGCATCATCATGGAAACTACGTTCCCAAGCGAAACGCATTAATAACATTTTGAGATCGTGTATGCTGCTGGGGAAGGAAATGTCACAACGCTGTGTACTCTCCTGCATATAACTGCTGTGGCGTGTCATGCATGCCGAGAAAGCGGCTTCGGAAACGTCTGGACCCCAAAGTGGCAACAAACCGTTGCAGCGTGTATTGGCATTTTGTAAACTAGCGCGTTCCCATTCGTCACGACCACGTGCCAAACGTATAGCGGAAGTGTGACAGTCCACGTGCACCACATTGAAGTGTGTAACAGTGGTGTAACCGATAGTCTTGCGTGATTTCAATTCAAATTCCTCCACATTGCAGCGTTTCGTAAATGTATAGATGCCAAGTACTTTGGCTGGCTGGCAGGCGTAACCCTCACGGCATATAAAGCAGGTGAGACCAGTCTCATCACGTAATTTTTCAATCTTTTGCAGTATCGATCCCTTAGCTGTTACTTGACCCTTTTCATTGGTACGCATGCCAAGTGCGTCCAGCTGTTTTTCACGTGTAGCCATCGCTAAACGTTTCTTTTCGGCGCGTGTGAAATCACGTACTTCCTGTACTCGTGTGGCAGTCGCTTCATCAGTGCACAAAGCCTCTAGTAGATTTTCAGCCAAACTACCGACATGCTCATCGCTGGATACTTGTTCAAGCCGATGTATGATTGGTATAATATCTTTGCTGATAGCAAGCTGTGTAGCCTCATGTTTGCTAGCGAGACCAGTAAGGAAACGTAGTATGTACTTAAGGCTGGGTCGTGAAATGAATTCTTTCAATTCGTCTGAGTCTGTGCGCAGCAATGTGGGTTTCACGCAGGGTGCATGATTTGTTATGTAGGCGATGGCACGTTCCACAATGCCCAATCCAACTATATAGTCTTTCAAGGTGCCACCAATGCAATTGTGCTCTATTTGGTTGGTTAGTACGCAGAACAGTTCCATCTTGAATTCCTCCTCGGGTGTACGTTCACTATCGAAGTGATTGAAATCGAGTATTTCCTGTAAAACGAAGAATAACAATATAACATAATAGTAAATATGTGTCTCTACTTTCAGTTTCACGTGCTTACCTTGAAGTTCTCACACAATAATGCCATTTTCACCTCATTGCCATAAACTAGCGCTGCAAGTACGCGTATAAGATGACGCAGTACCGATGGATTGTTGCGTACATTGGCACAATCGGTACAAGAAATCAATGCCGATACATACTCGGGTCCGCCAAAAGTGAGTGAGAATTGCAAAAATGAGTCTAATGTATCATTTGCCGCCTTGGAGAGTATAGTCTCCATTATTTCCAATAATTGTTCGGTCACTGATGATTGTATCGAATCGTTCTCTGATTGTAGACACACCTGCAATACCTTAAGCAATGTGTTGATCGCACCTAATTCCGGTTGACACAACACTTCTTGACAACGGCGCACTTTTACGCAAATAAGGAACAATTTCAATAGTACTTGTATCAATTCGCGTGTGCGTGATATATTCTGCAAACTACCAATACGATCGAGCATCACTTTTAAACCGTTACAATCAGCCAATACATTCGCCATGCGATAAAGTTGTTCGGTGTCCACTTCTTCTTGACTCTTATTGTTTAGTGTCTCAACAAACTCTTCAGTAGCGTCGCCCAATAGGCCACGCATGCGATATACAATACGCATAGCATCACGTTCACCGCCCTCTGCTAACCACACCTTTTTGTAGACATCCTTTACGGGTAAATCCAAACTGATGATTTTATTATTCACCAATAATTCCATGCCATTATCATCCTCTAACAGCGCTATCAACTCACAATCGGTACAAATTTTGTTTTTCACATCGCGCATAAGCGGTCCCAGTCCTACCTCGGTTGAGGGATATGGATTGCCCAACATGCGTCCTTGTAAGAAATCTTCCTGCTGTGGATCCTTCTCAAGCGTCATAAAGAATTCACTTTCATCATTCTCTTCTGGATGTATAATGGAGTAGAGTCTCTCGAAAATAAATACCGGTGTCTTAATATCATTCATACGCGTTTTTTCGACTGTATCGATTAGAATTTCCATAAATGCGCGCGTTTCCTCCTCGGTGCCGCTGGTCATCTCTTCCAACATTTCCAACAATTTCTCTTGTGCATCGTCGATAAGGCGCGTACGTTGCACAACCAATTTGCGTAGCGATAAATAACCCTCGAGTACGGGTCCAAGTAGACGTGTCTTGTACGCCTGCCGTATGGTGGAGCTCTCAAGGAAGAGCGATAGTAATTCTACAAATTGACGCAATGCATAACCTTGTGACAAGTCCGATGATAATGTGGTCTCTTCCAAGCGATGTATCTTAACAATTTCGGCTGTTAATAATTGCGAGACTTCTACAAGTACACCCTTCAATGCTAAATATTGACGCCATGGTGTGTCGGAGGCAAGCGCACGATACAGCGCCAAAAATTCTGCACTCGCTTCACCCGCCTCGCCTACATACTTAAGAAAGCCGGTCAACAGGTTTAATATCTCACGTTTACGTTCATGTGTACGGCTCAACGAGGTGATGAGTGAGCATGCCAATTGACGACCGAAACGTGAATTAGTATTGAATAGAATGGGTTGCAACCAATTTGCGTTTAGCACTAGTGGTGCATTAATGTGTTCTTTATTTAGTACACGATTACGCCAACGACGGCCATACTTCTCAGACAAATAGAATTCGCGTACTAATTGACGTTTCTTCTTTGCTGAGTCTGTCGGTTCGGTTGCGGGCATTGCAACATTGCCACTGTTCGCACCAGTATTTTGTTCGACTACCGATTGTAGCATTGCGGCCAACATACGATCATCTGGGAGTATAGATGAGGCGGCGGCGGCAGCTGTAGTAGCTGTCGAGTTTCCGCCGGCGCTTGTAAAGCCTTTGCGAGTCTTTGCTGCTGTGTTAGCTGGCATGCGAGTTTTCCAGGCTTCGTATGAGTGCTGTGGATCGCCACTTAACCACTTATTGAAGTTGACCGTAAGACCGTCAATACTGGTGATTGTGGATAATTGTGAAGGGCTTAAATCGCGATTTATTTTACTTGTCGGTATTGTAGGGCAAATTAGTGCTTGCATTATTCTCAAACAAGGTTGAATAACCGATATAGCGGGTCCACGTGTTGCACTATGGATTAGAAAATAATTTTATTATTTAACGAATGCTGCACATTTTTATAGAGTTAGAGCCGTTAGTTTAAGTCTAACTATGGAAAGAAAATATATTATCTTAAAGAGCTTGAAAAGAACACATATGTGCACTGGAGATCAAATTTGATACAGACAAACTCTTCGCGTCGTAAAAATAAAAAACAACTGCCAAACACATTGGTTTCGGTTTGTGCGCGCAGTTTATATGAACCAGTCCGTGTCAAATTTGATCCTAGCGTGTACTCAAACATGACAAGAGCGTGTAAGCACAAATATTAAGACCGTTTTATAATACAAATCGTAAAACAAACTCACCGACATGTTACGAGGAACAGCTCGAATACCACTTTCAATTTATTCTCCCAGCAAAAATCGTCTTGTGCGATCAGCACCTCAAGCAAAACCATTTCATGGTGTATGGCTGCATCCAAATTGGCCAAAGGTATAGCGCCCAATAATGCGGTTTTCACACGTTCAGTAATCAAATCCAACAAACTCATACAAGCATACTGATTATTCTTGGTCAATAGCACAAGTAAATTGCGAACTTCATCTTGTATTTGTGGTGTGCCACGACGTAGGTTGTGTTGGGCTAATTCTTCGACCAAACCCTGTGAATACAAACCTATACGACAATCATAGTTGGAGGCCATGGCACGCAGTAGGGTAAGACATTGCTCTGTAGAGGCTAATGCGCAACCGTAACAACGGTTTATGGCATAATTTTCACGCATATCCATGCTTTGAGAATTGTGCGATTGATCTTGTTGACTGCGATCGTAAGCGACCAATTCACTGCAAAAATATGCATATATGTTGTAATTTTTATTATAAAATAACCGTTAAAATTTTTTATATATTTTTTTCAACGTACCTGCGACATGCCTTCACCTTCTGTACTATTTTACTTAATTCTTCGAATGAGCTACGCGATTCCACACAGTATTTTTGCGCCAAAAGCTGTATGATTTTATTCACTTGTGAAGTGCTATGCACAGTGCCAAGATTGTCATCCACCAGCCGATCGGAACAACGATGTTCGGCTACCTTTTGTATAAGTAATTCTAGCATTTGTTTGTTAGTTTGTAATTGGCGATAAATTCGATCGGCGCGCTCCAATGAGGAATGTATAATTTGCACTGTTTTAGCGCGGTCCTCTGCCGATTCGATGGGGTCTACGGCGCAACAAACGCGTCCATATATGCTAAAGTCAAATTTGGCATATTTGCAGAAACCACAAGAATGACAAAGGAATGGATCCTTTTCATCATAATTGATGGCGCGACATTTATGACATTGAAATACATTTTCACCACAGTTGGCACAGACACCCGGATAGGCGGGAACTGCGGCACTGCAGCGTGGACATTGCAAATTTTCGCTGGAACCAGTTACGGTCTCGTAGAAATCAGCGTATTCTATCATCAAATTACAAGCGGTAATCGGTAGAGGAAAATCAATTTTCACCTCAGTTTGACCGGATTGTAATGGCACTGAGCGTGCTTTATGCCACATAGCTGGACGATTCTTCAGCTCCACTACCGCTTGTACAGTACGGTTGTTGTAGTAAATATTGATGGTACGCACCATTTTTGTACGTTTCAAATCAGCAATGCGCACAACCATCTTGGAAATTGTATGACTTTGTACCAACTTCACGATCATTGTGGTTGTGGTGAATTTCGAATCTGATTTAATTGATGGCAATTTAATATTGGCCATGGCTACTTCGGGGTTATTGCATACAAGACACGGTTCTGATTCTAAATAATAGCCGTTCATTTGCAGTATTTGTTCAAGTGTAGTATAGATTGGTGCATTCGGATGCTTCGAAAGTAAATCGTTTTGTTGACGCAATACCTCAACCGCTTTCTCTGTGTACTCTGGCAACTTGTCAACAATGGATTTTGTGCTGAGCGTCAAATAGCCAAGTATGTCCACAAATTGTGCTGTACGTCTGCCGAAAGCCGGTACCAATGGCCACATGTTCCATAAAATACTAATTAATTTCTCTTTCTGGCGATCATTGGAGTTTTCATAAATGGCGAATATCAATGAATGCGCTTGCCAACGTATCGATGTGATGTTTGTCTCCAGTAGAAAAATGCGCACAAATTTATTCAACAATGTATCAGAAACAAAACGGAATATCTGATGTACGAATGTGCTACAATGAGCTGGATCGAATTTCGAATCAAATGAGATTTCTATGTCTTCCGACTTCTCACGTTCTGCACGCAATTTGGATGATGTGCCTGGCGTTTGTTGTTGTTGTTGTTGCTGTTGTTTGACGGCCTGTATATTATTGCAAAGCGCTGCTTGTAGTAGTTGCAGTAGAATCGGTGAAACGCCATCGTCCAGTTGATAGCAAGCGATCTCAATCAATACGGGTATCACATCCTCATGAATGAGGCAGAACTTTTGCCAATTACCCGTGCGTATTTGGCTGATCTCTTGACAAGTGCGCAAATGTTCGGTAAGTTCGACGAGTGAGTCATAGCTAAGGATCGGTATAGATTGATTTGAAAGCACTAAATTCTGAAAAATATTATTAAATAATAGAATAAATTGATTTTTCAAACTATAAATAAAATGACAAGTAATACCTTCGTATTAAATAGACTGCAGATCTCCTTAACAAAATTGAAGTGCACATCCAGCGAGTGTCCATCGCGGAACATGCGGAATTTCTCTTTATTACCACAAATATACATGAGTAATTTGCGTACTTGTCGCCGCAGCAATGCATTCAAATTCAGCATCATATATTCGCACAGTGTGTAAGTCATGTTCTCACAATAGTTGTGATACCAATCATAGGGACCAGGATGTGTGGCCGAAAGTCGTAAGATTTGATATGGCAAACGTACGGAAATCTCCGTTAGTAAGGCATCGTATGAATCAAAGATATCGGGATAATTTTTCAAATAGTTATGTGGTATTAGCATAGAAATATCTGGTTTAGCGCCATGTCGTATCGGTTTGAGTAGATTAGTTTTTGTTGATGTTGTTGCAGCGCTAGCATTTGGCGTACCAACAGCTACAATAGCGTTGTTGCCATTTGCACTCTGTTCGCTAGATACACGTTTCCAGTGTTCCAGTAGTGATTCCATTACGACCAATGAGAATGTAAATGCGCCGTTATTGCTGAGTATACTAGCTGTGGTGCTGGCTACAAATGATGCGTTATCCTTGAATTGATGTGGTGGTGATGTAGTGCCTGCCTGCTTGGACTTGGTCTTTCCCATTAATACGCCGAAGAGACAGAGCAACACAAGTCGAACTTCGTTTTTACCGCTGCGATCCTTCATCTTGTAAAATAAAATAAAAAAAAGTAGTAGGTGATAAGATATCGGAAAGGGACTTATGAAAAAATTGTCAAAAATTTATTGGAATTTTAAATTTTATGTAACATGTTGAATTTGTATATAATTAAGTATTAAAGTAGCGAGTATACGATTGGCGAGTATAACTAACAGGCGAGTACAGAAAACTAAATTCTGAAAACTCTCTCTTTTTATTGAAATATTATGCACAAAAAAAAAGTTAAATTTTCTACAACTTTGTAGTGCACTTACCTTGAAAGTGTTCGAAATTGAGTCCATTTCGACATAGTCCACAAGCGCTGATAAAAGTTCATTTAACACCTTTTGATCGCGTTCGTTATTGCCATTCAGATCGGTTGTCAACATAAGTATTACTTGTATTAATGGTATAGCTTGCACACCATTGCAACTATCGAAAGTTTGTAGATTGAGGATGATATTCTCCAAAATTGAAATTCTATTTCAAATATACAGAAATGTAAAATTTTTTAAATTACATAAACAACAGTACCAGCAATTTACCTCAAATCGTGCAATTTGGCTAAATTTTCATCCTCAGAGACCAACTCTTCGTTTGGCACGCTCGTAACGGCGGCTGCTGCTGCGCTAGTGCTAGCAACCGGCTCATCGGTGCCGCCTACTGCGCCAGCATTTGTATTTGATTTGCTGCTTAAATTTATGTTAGATGCTGCATTTGCCGAACGCGGTGGCGAAGCATTAGCCTGATCGCCATATGTGCTACTACGTCCAGATGTGCCACCAATACTCTCCACTCCACTACCACCACTTTCTGAACCACCACTTCCGGCGGGTTCAGCCGGTGATGTACGCAATGTAGAACCATCGGTGGCTACATTGGAACCTTCATCATCGGAGCCACCAGCTGAGACGCTTGCTGCATTCGCCGCCATACCAATATTATTGCCTTCAAGCGCTTGTAAATTATGTAAATTGCCGGCATTTCGCATACCCTGCAGATTTGCCAGACCTTGTTGCAATGATTGCAAACCTTCGCCGTCATGTTGTTGCAAACTTAGAGCAATCGCTAAGTCCATAATTGCTTCATCGTCGGCGTCCTGTTGTAAACCTAAAAGTTGTGGAAAACCGCCACCCATAAAGGCCTCCAAATTTAATAGTTGATGTCCAGCATCGTGTGCAAGCGGATCTATTGCGCCAGCATCCACAAATTCAGCGCTATTACTACGACCCACTACAGCAGCCGAGGGACCACCAATAGCAGCTGCAGCTGCTTCCAATACCTCGTCGGCGGCGACTTCAGCTGCGCCAGTAACGGCTAGCGTTGTTAAATTCGCGGACGTTATCGTGCCAGTTGTGTTAGAAGGTGTGGGTGTCGAGCAAATCGGTGGTGTTACAATAGCAACCTTGCGGCGTTTTAAACGTGGATTTAGTAATAATATAATGGCTTCCTTGGCGCTATGACTTATAATGCTTGATTCGTTCTTTAGCAGATCTATAAAGTACTTGGTCATGCGTTCCACTTGATCGGCATCGGAGAGCGCAAACGCATGCATTATTTCTACTAAACAATGCACAATAGTTTCGGTATGACTAAGACCACGTCTAACGATAGATGTCGGCTCGTCGACATGTGGTGTGATTTGATATAACTTTTCAACAAACTCAAGTATGTCTTGGACGAGTTCAATTTTGTTATCCAGACAAATCTTTGTGAGCGATTGTGGACGTGACATTGCAATACTGCGTACCAACAAGACTAGACGATAGAAAGCCTCCGGATCCACATCACGCACCGTTTCTGGCGAATTTAATTTGCTCTTTAACGCCTGCAATTCGGCATTTACATAGTGTATAACCTCGTTGTCTTTGTAAGAATGATAGGCGTTGCGATTACCGAATAATGTGGCTAAAACATAGCGCGATTGCGCTTGCACTTGATTTGGTGTGGGTAATAGCAGCAATGATGTTGCCGTTTTAATTGCTTCTTGTTTAATAGTTGCCGTTACATTACTGCCGCCAAGCAAATTTAGTGAATAGTCTAGCACTTCCAGTAGATTTGTAACCATTTTATCCAAATTATTTATAGATGTGAAGCCCTCACCGAAATTTGCCGCAGATAGCTGACCGTTGAAGTTAGCGTTGGCGTTGCCGGCAGTGCCCGCCACAACGTTACCGGCTGTATCATCGCTGTCATCTGGCCAGCCAACTAAATCTTTTGATTTGCCATACACTTCAATGCTATCCAACATACTGACATTCTCGGGATCCTGCGATTTGCCGAAGATAACTTTTAAACATTTGTCTGATTGTAGAATCTCTTCACGCGTCAAGGGTATATCGAACCAGCGTGCACGGCGTACAACCGTGGGTATAGTGCGTCCCAATACCGTTACGGTTTGTGGCGCACGTAATGCATCCTGTGTGCCTAGCAGCACGCGTATACCCACAATTACTGTATTCGGATCGTTATTGTATACTTCCAGTGTAAAGCCGGTGGGTTTTGTAGACGCTACAAACATGCCAGTGGAGAAGAGACGCGTTTTAAGTTTTTGCTTATTATAAATTTGTAGCAAATCATTGCCGCCGAACTCCACGTCCGATAGCATCGTGCAATGTTCGAAGAAATCAATGGGAAATATGGGTGCGCCATTGGGGCCGACAGTTTTTTGTTGATTAGTTGTTTTGCGTTTCGATTTTTTGTTAGAATTACATTTTGCAAACAACGTTGAAGAGTACAATTGATTGCCAAAGGGTTGGACTTGTGGTGATAACCAGAAGCTGGTGTTTTCCGGCTGAGCGGTAAATATGCGTAAACTGCCGTCTTCGCATAGAAGTATGAGCGTTGTTTTCTCTACACCAGCAACTGTGTGACGTATGGCCACCATATCCATTATGCGTGATTTCGACGATTGTGCTTTGATCTCTTGCATTAGTATGCGTTCTGGTGTGAACATGAAAATGACTGGATTGTTGGAGGTGTGCATCATAGAGCAAATTAAACCAGGATGTCCAGTTATTTCGGTCCATTGACACAATGGCTGTGGCGGTCCTTTAGATGAGTTCTTAGATGCGGGTGCAGTCTGTAGATGTGTTATGCTCTTCACACCCTTATTGACATCGGTGAGGGGTGCCATGAAACTGCGTCCAACCGAATAACTGAAGAACAGCAGTTGCAGTGTGTGCGAATAATAAATTGATACACCACCGCCGCCCACTTGTCCACTTACATCCTTGATGTGTGGATGATTTAGTTCCAAAGTATTGGTTACATAGAAATCGCCATGTTTGGCTAAACTCTGGTCATCCAATTTCTGGTAGTAAATATAGCCAGACGAGGCTATGATCAACATGTAATATACGCCATCTTGGTAAACAAATGTGCAATCGCGAATTTTGCCAATTGCTACAAGGAAATAATATTTGGGACTATAAGAATCTTCAGACAGTTCGTAGATTTTCACATAATCTGCTGTAACAAGCGCCAACATAGTCTGCGAACCGGGCAGCCAATTGGCTTTCTTAATAAAGTTGCCATTCTCGAGCTGCGGTGTCAAGACAATGTGTTCATTGGTAGCGCCACTATTGGAGAATGTTAGAATGTGACATTCCTTCAAACCACAAACGGCTAAACAGTCTTCATTCGCCGGATTGGCTGTTAGTGAGAGTACTGTGCACGGTATAGGCGCCGACGAGAGTTGTGTGAGTGTAAGTTTACGTTTGGCAGCATCTGCTTGCTTAAGTAATGCCGATAATTGTAGAATTGTAACTTTTCCTTTTTCGTGTGACACAGCTAAATGCTGACGCTTGCCATGTGGTGAGGAGAGGCAACACAAGGCCACACGACGCACCAGACCAGATGAAAGCAATTGCTTTATGGTCTGGCCCTGATCGCCCGAATAGCTCATGCGTACATTCTCAAATGCGCCTTCCTGTGAACCCAGTGTGGGCACCATTAATTGATCGGTGATTTGGAAAGTCTGTTCGGGCGCATGTAAACGTTCTAATGCTGTCTTGGCACGCTTGTGACAACCGACAATGGAGAAGAGTGCGCAATTCTCGCGTATGGCTGGTAGTAGCACATCCAAGAAGTCGAGTATGCAATGTACGATTACACTCCATTGTTCGTTATTCTGAAACAGTTCACGACTTGAGCCCAACCATTTCATTAGCAGAGTAATGCGTTCATTGGGCGCATCCATGCGTTGTGTGTATGTGGCGATTTGTGTTGGAGGTGTTTGTGCGCGTTTTTTGCTATTCAACGCATTCAAATTGCTGGCATAAGCGCTTTGACTGTAGTCGATAAGCTGACGGCTATCTGCACCTGAGCTGCTAATGCCGCCACCACCACTCGAAGAGACACGACGACTGAGCGCTTGACAAGAACCATCCTCCTTAGCGCCACAGTCACAAAAGAAGTTACCATACTTAGCATAGCTAACGTCATGTCCTTTGTGGCACACGCGTGCGCATACTGAACACACGCCAACCGTATTCACCATGTTACAGGTGTGACAATGATACCAGTGTTGATTCATGAATTCCTTTTGAGTTTGCGAAAATGTGCAGAGTTTATTATTGAGACTGTCTTCATCTGAGTCCTCTACAAATGAGTCATCCTCTTCCATGCCTAAATCATCGATCAGCTCCTCCAAATCAGTTTGCATTTCATCATCCCATGATGGTGTCAAATTTTTACTACCCTTATAGCCGAGGCTCTGCAACAATTCGCTTAGGTATTTAAGCAGTGCATTGATGTTTTCAAGTGTAACGGCTGGTACTAACGATGTAACGTTTTTGGGATTCAAAGCCCGTTCGAGTACTTGAAATTTAATTATATCAAGCCAAGCAATTGTAGCTTTGAAGAGTATGGCATGGCCACAATCTTGTGTCTTGTCGGCTAGTATTATCATAACTTGCAGCATGTCAGCAAAATCAGATGCCTCTTGCGGTGGTGCAATCAACGACTGTCCTAGTTGGATTAACGATTGGAAGAATATCTTGCCAACACCTGTTGGAGATTTGCTGCTGCGTGTAATGTACTTCACAACGCTTAATAAAAGTGCACCGTTGCGTTCGCAGGCTTCGGCATCTTGTGATGTTTCATCCGATTGATTTGTCACATAACTGTTACCGACATTTTGCCAAAGGTTAAATGTCTCAGCCTACAAAATAAAATGCAATTAGTTACTAATTTCATATTTTCAAAATTAACTTTTTTTTTGTTTTTTACCTGTATTGTGGGTGCGCAAGCTATTGCTCCATCATCTTCGGTTTCCATGGCTTCTGCGTCCAAGCCAGAGGATTGTGCCAATTGATCCGTTATGCTTGGTATCGCTGACACTGTAGCCATATTTGTTGGTGTTTGTGCATTACTTGAGGGTGTACTTGAGGGTTGCATGCTTGCAAGCACTTTATCTACCGTATCAGAACCGCCCGTGGCGCAACTGGGACCATAAATAATATGACTTAACCAATCTTTTATATGAGGTACATGAAAATATGCCAATTCATTAAAGCATTGTAGCAAATCCTCCATTGGAAAGTTGCAATCACTTTGTTCGGCCAATTGGAAGAGCTTCTCAACGAATTGTAATAGCTTTTTGGCGTAACAAACAGACATTGTGGTGCCTGTGAAGGATAATAGCAGCTCAACCATGCTACCCGCTTTATTTACGTAGAAGAAATTATGCATTGCCTTGACACCGGTGGGTTTTTCAAGCATCTGTGTCATAGTCTTTAGTACAGAGAAAAGCATTACCTCGCTAAAGATCACCTTACTCGTGTTTCCCTGCGATTGACGTAATTCACGGGCAAATTCTAAAAGGAGCTTGTAACAGTGTCGCAATGTGTACTCGTATACGAGCAGCTGTTGTGCTTCGTTGCTGCTATCATGTCCAGTCATTAGCGTGTGCATGCATTTCTCACCTTTTTCGTACACATATTCCGTACGTACATCCAACATGGTCGATATAAGTATGGATTTTAATTCATTTTCAATATCCACACCGACATTGGCAGCGCCAGTGCTGGGCGCAATATCAACATTGCAATATGGTAGTAGTAAATCAATTAGACTTAGTATGGACTTCATACAGTGTTTCAGCGAATTCAATAAGGTATAATTATTGTAGCGTGTTAGCTCAGCAATATGCGCTTCAATCACTGCTAAGGTATATTCCTCCACTGGATAGTTGGGTTTGGTGAATATAGTACCGTCTGATATCAGTAAGCACTTTGGCCATTCAACATTGATTATATCTTTATCCTGATTCGGCAAGAGTTTTATAAATGTTGCTTTTAATTCGGTTGTAAGTGGATTTTTCGAGCTAACAATTGGCACGATCAGATTCAGTATATTAACGGGTGTGGCGTCTGTGAGTTGTAATGTCATTTTGCTGCGTACAGTTTCCGAAACAATTTTGTAAGTTTCAATTAATAACAATAGTAGATCACGACTAGTTTGGGCACGTTCTTGTAGCAAGGTAGATGGTGAATCAGATTTATTTTTTTGATCCAACGATTCCGAAGAAGAATAAACATCTTGTTCGCCCGTTGTAATTGGTGAATTAGAGCTGGGCAGGCTAGGGCTAGCGCTGCCACTATTATTGCTGCTTGCAGCAGCACGTTGTAGTTTAATCCCTTCTTTTGCGGCCCATGCTACAGCTTGCATGTGCGCAACAACAGCATCGAGCAGTATAATATGTGATAAGCGTGGATTAACTGTAAAGAAAAGTTTTATGTATAGCGTGAATTTCGTACGAAATAATTACAACAAACTAAACTTACTTTTATCTACGGCATTGTTGAATGATTCCACGCCCAGTAATGTCTGTTTCAAACTGAAACTAATATCGCTAACACGATCACTGACATTTGACCAAAGCGTTTCTGCAAACTGTGTATACATGCCTTGCTTGATTAAACTGTTCACAATCAAATAGTGCGATGTTGACATAGGACAACGTATAGACCACAGCAACGAGTGCAAATTTGGCACTTTATCTTCGAGCAATGATTCAACGTGAACCGTTGAAGGGGGCAAACCGAGTAGTAATTTCCAACAGATGCTAAAACAATATTGCATAGCGCATAAAGTATGTGAAGTGATTTTACTTTGTGACATGTCAGTCACGGAAAGTATATCGATTAGCGCATCGACTAGAAGCGGATATTTCAATTTGTCGGGTGTGCACAGTATGAAATTCCATGCTAGTCCATCAAGTTTGAATTCCTGTTGTGTCGAAGTAGCAGATTGATCGACCACAGTTAGTGAATAGAAAGTAGGACGTATATCTGCAACGAATATAACAATTTTGGTTAGTTACGAGTGGTTTATATACAATGACAACATTACTTGAAAGATAGTCCGATGATGATTTGCGGAATTTCTCTTCAATATCTTTGCGGCAGAAAGATGTCAGTTTCGTTTTGCTATTAAGCAAATCGGAAACTTTTTGATTTTCATGCATTGTTGTTATGCTAAATAAATTCCAACGCACCTGATCCAACAGTTCAGGTGGTGCATTGTACAAATGTTTCATTAGATACTCAAGGAAGAGTAACAAACGTGATAGCAGTATTATTTGACTATTGCGTACAGGCTTATCTGGGGAAATGCCCCGACATACTTCAGCGCAACGTGTCACAGCACCGGCTGTTAGCAACAATATCATTTTCTTTTGCATTAAATTTAATGAATGGAAAAGAAATAGCAGCAGTTGCGCATGCTCCATATTAAGGTCCTCATAGTCGACATCAGATGCAGTACTTGCAACAGAAGTGCAACAAACACCTTCGACGAGTGTGTTAATTAAACGGTGCCATACAGATAGGCAGGCAGCTTCTTTTTCCTGTGTTGGCTTAAGCAATAGAATTTGCACTAGCACTGATAAGGTGCTTGGATATACCTGTAGCGGCCAGGCATTGGTATCGGTTGACCAAGGCGAAATCGAAAGATGTTGTAGTAAATTGGATTGCAAAGTTTCACTTAGCAATGAAGCCGATATTAAGTTGTGCAAATAGCGACCAACTGCACCGGAAAAACGTATCATGGCAGCTTGCCATTTGGCACACGTGGACGCCTCAGCTTCGCCACGTGCTGTATCACGATCAAGGTCTTTTAGTATATTTGCCAATAGTAACATTTGTTGGTCGCTCAAACCAGCTTTTACATAGCGATGTAAATAGGCATGTTTGTTGGCGAAAAATTGTTCCATGAAACAAAATATTTGTGCTGCTAAATCTAAATATTCATGTGGCTCATCAACGGCTGGTACTAAATTTGACTTTTGCGGTTCACTGCTACGCTCTGGTGCCTGCGCATTTGCCGTGTCATCATTACCCTCGGGTGAGAGGGTTTCCTTGAACCAATGGCCCAAATAACTTTCGCTATCATCTTCTTCAGAATTATCGGAGCAGGATAGTGTATCATTAAAGTATGTTGTTGAATCCGAGTAGCTAATGGCTTCACATTCAGTGCGATCTTTGGCGTTTGCACGTTTAAGTGCGCACGCTTTACGATAAGCGACTGTTGCAAGAAAAGTGAAAAGTTGATGTAGTGTAGCGGTGTTGAGTACACGTATTAAACGCTGAAGTGATGTATAGTTTTCTAGTATATCGAAACTAGCTGGTTCTGGTAAATTCTGATTGGTGTTGTTTACACCAATATCGTTGCAAGTGGATTCAATTTTTAAATCTTCTACTAGTTCACTCAGCAATTTAATACAATGATTGGCTATTGCGGCATTTAGTACTCCAAAGCCTTGTTGAACTTTGAAGAGATTTACACGTGCTGTTGGTGTGGATGGTGTGTCTGGTGGACGTTGGGTGGCGCCAACTGTCGTTTTAGATTTAGCTGCATCTTCGAGTTGTGCTCCCGATTTACTACTTGTGCTACCGCTACCTGAGGCACCAAGAGCACCTTGTATGCCACTAACCAATAACCAGGCACCAAAACACAAGTGATTCTGATATACATGCGAACGCGCAGATGTTTTGAAGACATTACCTATAATAGTGTAAATTTCCAATGCTTTGTCAACAATAAAACGTGAGTGCTCTTCAGTTTCATCAGTTTCTTTAGATTGTGCGCCACTACCACCACCAGAAGATTGTTGACTCTTCTGTGAGGACGATGAGCTTGACATGCTAAGCACGCTACTCGCAATCGATGTTAATACAGCGCAGTAAAGTGCTGAAATAGCGCAATTGGATAGTTTTGTTATACGACTAGGTGAAAGCGGTTGCATGATGGGCAATGATAAAGCTTGCCACAGGATAGAGATGTCAGTAACCATGTGGGAAAGCGTATTCTTTATTTGTGTAGCCTCAGTTTGTGTTAGTGGCAAATACAATGGTTTTGTATTAATAGCCGCAATAGTTTCCTGATATTTGGCTCGATAACGTGCCAAAATGGGCAACGAAATACACACATCAAGTATAACATCGGCTCCATTTAGTGATTGTAAATATGCAACATTCGCTATGGTGAAAATATCCTAAAAAAAAAAGGGGTTTTCAATTACATTTATGAATAATCAATGCTTAATTAACAACTTACTGCACAATCTGTGATTTCATCACTTAGTGGTGACCATGAATTTTTTCCAGCTTCCAGCGGTGCAGTTAACTGTTGAAATATCACCGTTGATAAATCTGAACGCGAACGTTTAATCTCCGATTTTGGAGACTCCTTATCACCACCAGTTACAATGCTTTTGTTGGGTTCAGGATACTTTGCAGCTTTTAATACAGCTGCTACGACATTGAAATCTAAATGTAGCAGTCCAGCTACTCCAGGATGGGGATTTTTTAATGTAGCGTTTTGTGGAGGTTTCCCCTCGCAAAGGCTTTTCAAACAGGGTAACAGCCATTTTATCTCGTCTCTAAGAGATTGTGTGTAGCTTGGTTTCTTAGTTATCTTTATTAGAGAATAAGTAATAATGAGTACAAATAAACAATGGTATTTCTAGAATTTAGTGATTTTTTCAATTATAAATATGTAATAACCGCACTTTAAAGTGCATCGTTAACTATTGGTGGTGAACAATTACTGAATTTACATATGTATATTATAATATTTTATTATATAAATACATGGATTTGTAAATAAGCATCAATCTTACATAAGTTATAGAAAATAATATACATAAAAATAATTAATATTTTTTTTTACTGATTTTTAAGAGTTATTGTAGTAATTTTTATATGCTTAAATCCGTTTTAAACAACTGTAAATTTATTTTTTAATACTGCAGTATTTATGTGAAATACAAATTGTTCGTTTAAATTTTTTTCGAAAATTATGTTTGCATAAAAAACATTATCAAAAAGGTTTTTTTTTTAATAACGCTTAAATATTTATGTGCATATTTTCAAAATATAATTCAACATATACTCACTTTGCTCAATTTGTGGATTATGAATCGTATAAGTACCGCACAAGCCTCCTGTATTTGCGGCAACTGTGTTTGACAAACTGTTTTTGTATAGAATGAAAGATGAAAAGAGAATTAGAAAAATATACAAATGAGATGCAATTTTAAGCACCCCCGACCTTCCGGAAACAAAACAAAGTAACAAACAGCTGGTATTTCAAACACAGAATACATGTACATATAACATATACTAGATATGTATTCATATAATGTCCATACTTTTTTTTTGTTAACAAATATGCAGCGCACCTACCCTAATATGAACATATAACGGTATATGCTAATCAATTCAGAATTCTCCAATAAATTTAACAATTTATTGACATAACAATTTCAAAATTACTTAAACCAATATTACTATTGATATATAACATTCTTTATTTAAGTTGGCGAACTTTTAGTTTCTCTAAAGTTGAAGCAAAGAAAAGCTATTGCAATTGAAAAAATTGTGTATGTATACCTTTTCCGTGAAAAATCGTTGTCGAGACTTACCAAGTTTACATTGGCTCAATTTGTCTGCAGCAACTGCTGCAAAGGCCATATAAAATTGCGCATAATTACTTTCATCATCGAAAAAATCGTTTTCACTGCAATTAAATTATAACAAACACGATTAAAACGTCAGAAAACGTATTTCACAAGTATGGAAAAAATTTTCGGACGTCGGCCGCCATCTTTGATTTGCAAGTGAATTGCAGATTTTTGATTACGCACCGATTACTAATTACGATTAAATAAAAACTTATATAGCAAATATTTGTATTATTTACCATCTTGATATGGCTTTAACCACATTAACTATATCTGCTTTAGTAAAGGAACCATATCGACTCGCTATAAGCGGTTTTAAAAAGCTCCAATCCATCTTGAAATTTCACAAATACTGATTTGTCATTTATCGAATGACATATGACTTTGTTTTTGCCGTTTTTCCAATTTATTTTCGTATTATCATTCACAATAGGTATGATTGTTGCCAGACGAATACTAAATCTTTTAATTTTGGAATGTAATGATAATTGCAGTGATGAAGTGGTTATATAGCTATTCGTCTGATAGTCAAGTCTCTAAAACTAATTGGGAAACGTTTTATACTGTACTATCACTTTGTACGTCTTGGGTTAGATGTAAGTTCTACTAAGAAATCTATTAATCAAATAATTTCAATGTATTCACGCCGTTGGTTGCAATTGTTATTTTTCAAAAACAAATCTTCTAACACACATTTTTTAAAAACAAATATATGTATATATGTATAAATAGCTGTTATAAATAATATAAAGTCAGAATGATATAATTGTAGTATTTGCTTTGAGTGAAGATCACCTCATATGTAACTCATCATACATATCGTCGAATCACTTTTTGCCTCACTGCTTTTTATTGAGTTCTAAATTATGTTTACACTTTCCACTTCGATTTTTTCTATTTAACTAAATATCAATGTGCTTAACCAACAACCAAAGTGCCGTCATCAGGGAATACATGAGCGGGTACTTCCAAGTTCAACGGTGCTGGTCCCTTGCGTATACGTCCGGAGGCATCGTAGTGAGAACCATGGCAAGGGCAGTAATAACCGCCAAAGTCGCCTGCATTGGCAATTGGTACACAACCCAAATGTGTGCAAACACCGATTACCACCAACCATTCTGGTTTGAGTACACGTTGCTGAAATAAAAGTAAAATTTTAGTGATTATTTTACAAGAAAATTTATACTATTTGGATGCAACTCACGTCATCGCCTTGAGGATCACGTAAAGTAGATACAGCAACAGCGCGTTCCGTTTGAATTTCACCAGCTGTACGATGACGAATGAACAAAGGCTTACCACGCCATTTGAATGTGACAGATTTGCCTTCTGGAATATCACCAAGTTTGATTTCAATCTTAGCCATGGCCAATACATCAGCGGTTGCGCTCATCGAGCTTACGAAAGTTGTTACGAGTCCTTTAGCAGCGTAAGCACTGCCTACAGCACCGGCACCAATCAGCATGTAGGAGAACGCTTTGCGACTCTCTGCCGACTCATCCTTGCGGGTGGGTGTATTTACAGACTCACGACGGTAGGGAGAGAAGTCAGGCACCTGCAAGTCAGTGTGTGCATTGCGTTGAACTGCAAAATCAAGCTTAGGTTTTTAGTATATCCACCTAACACTTACATATTTATGTATTAGTAATTGCAATTATCGTAAACGTTAGTTTCCAGTTTGTTTTTAAGCACTGTTTTTAGAATGACGTTTATGCCTAACCTCAAAAAACATTACATAATGTAAGTCCTGAGAAAATGGGCACAAGTCATTATTATTGCGCACCAGCAATTTAATTTTAATTTTTTTTATTGAATTTTCGCTGTATGCATTCACTTTCCTTTAAAACACTAGATCACTTTGGTTGTGCAATAACTTTAAGGAAACACTGCACCCGTCCCATACTTACCTTGAGCGGATGCCACTGTTGCTGGTTTGAGCACATTGGACACGGACTGGCTGCCAGCGCGTAGGTAAGCACGAGTTACTGCGTTCATCATATTTGAAATTTTATTCAAAACTCGTATTTTTGAAAGTTCGAAATGTAATTAAGATTATTGTAGTGGTCAAATTTGTTGCGAAAAATTTCGCTGCCTACCGAAATTACTGCTGATATCTGACAATCGACTAAAAGCAGAGAAAAAGGTGAAATGTCAAAAATTGACAAGTGGGCAGATGGCGCTACAATTTTGTGATGGTTTGAAATCGTACTAAATAGACGCAATAACGATGCCAGATTTTATTCGAAGCAAAACTTATTGCCTATTAGGAAATACCAAAAATCGGTCGAAATCACAATATTAGATAACATCATAAGTGAGAGTACACACAATAAAATGGAGTAAAAATCCTAATTTATGACAGCTTCGGTTTGAAGTTAGATACAATTTGAGATTTAATTTTGAGAAAAGCATTGCGATCCTCTCTTGTTAACACCGCACTTCGTTTAACCCAGTCAAATCAAAGTGATTTAGTAAAGCCCTTGCGTTAATTGTAATGTGTGCTCTCACCGGATTTTTTTGCCGAATAGCCTGTCTCCGGCGTTAATCGCATCGAACTCTCCCAGGAACAGCCTCGTAAATTGTGGGGCCCACAACGAGGAACGGTTCCGGTCCTATCGGACTGGTTGCCGCAGCTTCTTTTGCCCCGAGCTCATCTACATAACTTCCATTGTTTCCTCTATGCTCAGGGATCCATGCTAGTAAGATATAATTTTTAGTGGCAGCCCTGTTAAGCATTCTTATGCACCCCAGTACCATTGTTGATTTGATTTCAACGGACGAGATTGCCTGAAGTGCCGCTTGACTATCACTGAGAATGTCAATTCGTTCTCCGTGATAGTTTTTCTCTAGTATAATCTCTTGTACATCTGCTAATGCCATAGACCTCGATTTGAAAAATGTATTCTAAACATTTCCACATTAGATACTTAATTTTAGTAGACTGGGATTAGGAAAGGAGGAACATTGGTTTAGAGTAGATAGCACAGCGCAATAAAATCTCCAATTGGGTATTCAAAATTTGGAGTAAGAATCAAATTGTTTTCTATATATGACTGGTAAAGGCTGTTCTTAGAAATCGAGAATATTACCTGCCTACATATATATTTGAATTACACATGTGTATGTGTATCTCACAAATCTTTTGTTGACACCGCATAGAAAGCTTACATTAAAAAACTAAAATTTTGAAATTAAAATAATTGTTAAGAGTGGGCTTACGTGCTTAATTGTTCACGCAAGTAGATATTTAAATATTGAAAATATTTAAATTATAATAGTTAAAAAAAAAAGCATAAGCACATGCCCACACCCAAGCTTTAAAGAGCAGAGATGTTGAAAAATACCAGCAAACCAGACAAAAATCAGCGTGGCTTCCCGCTGTGTAGAATATTAAAATCTTAAGTGAAAAATTGTCACAGTATTTGCTTTTTATAAATTGTTGTGGTAAATTAGGAAAGAAAAGTGAAAGAAGAATGAAAGAGAATTGTATATACATTTCAATTAAAGAGAAAGTGAAAAATAATAAAAAATCTTAAACAGTTCATTAAATTGTTGGAAAACATTTGGGGAAAATATGAACACGTTTTTATGGAAGAGAGTTTCCACAAAACAAATGTACCATTTAATCAATTGTAACTAGAGCTGACCAAAACAGAAAAAATATATTTTATGTATTTCAATGTAGGCGCCTGAGCTAACGCTTACTCCAATTTTTCATACACAATTTACAAGCCTCGGCTGGGATGGCCTTGGTGCCTTCAGCGAACTTTGCATCTCTTTTGTGACTTCTACTCGACGTCGTTTGTGCAAAAGGTTGATTTCTTTTGATACGAGTCTAGCATTGACGCGTTTCATACCCAAAACATTAACCAAAATGTGTTAAGTCGATCCACAAGAGATGTTGAGATCGTTTTTTCGATGATTTCGCAACTTCACTGAATGTTTTGGGCCACTCAAAAAATGTCAAGCAAATTCGTTGTTTAACTTCAAAGCAATACCTCAAAAACTAAGGGACGGACGGATAGACAGACGAACATGACTAAATCGACTCAACTCGTCCTTCTAGTCATTTATATATAGTATTTTCTAGTCTCTTCTAGTCATTTATATATATGTTTTATAGGGTCTCCGACGTTTCCTTTTGGGTATTACAAACATTGTGGAAAACATAATATACCCAGTTCAGGGTATAAAGATGGTAGTAATACACGATTGTAAAATACCTATGTATATTAAATTCCTTAGAGAATGAGGTCACACTTGATCGCTTTGCCAAATATTTGGGTTTCTATGTTAGTGTTATTAATGTCATATATTTCCAGACCAATGGTCAGTTAATCATTATACAAACAACTATTACACTCCTGTGCAACATTCTATGAATATATAAAACGGCACGCTTTAATTATAAAAACGGATAATGCTAACGACTTTTCAGTTACACTGAACGACTGAATCATAATTAAAACGATTTGCCAAACCCCCCCGGAAACTTTTCACATTTTTACTTAATGTGGTTTTTATAGGGGCAGAACGAAGCAGCTGTGGTAGTTCAATGAATTCATGTAAGCATAAAAGAAAAGAGCAAAACCACACACCATCACCATAGCCTACCTCTAGGCGCCCACACAATGCATAAATATGGCAGCAAAGCACGATCGCGTTTCTTTGTGAGTGTGTATGTGTGCTGCTGAACTAAATAGAAGTGCGTGAATTTTGAAAACAACTCAAACTATGTCGGCTAGGCGCCATTGGCATACTTTATTTTCGGCTAAAACTGTTTGCAGTCGCCAGCGACGCAATCAAAAACTCCAACCGAATACAACATACATACACAAACACACACACACACCCATCTATGGATATGAAAGAGTGCGAGAGCAAAGCCAGGAAACGAAGCAGTATAAGCTACATATATATTTTCAAATAAATTTAGCATGTATGTGTATGTACATACATTTTATTTATTATTATATATATACATATATTTATATATATACTCGTATACTTGTACCTATATGTGAGATTGTGTGTCTTTACTTCTGCGTGGCTGAGTGTTGCACGAAAAGCCAACAGTTACTTGGCGTAGAGCGCTCATCCTCGGCTGCTGCAACAACTTAGCTGTCCCATAAATCCTCTGACGGATTGCCGGTCTACTTTTTGTTTACACATTTTCTGTAACACAACATAAACAACTACAATAAAATGAACAACAACGTTATCTCTCTACTCACATCCCCAATTAACTTCGTATCTTCGTAGTAGTTTATGCGACCCACTTAAATAGCAATAACAACTACAATGTGTGTACATACGTGTATGTAGTATTGTATGTATGTACATGCAGGATAATGGCGCTAGTAAAGGAATCAGTTGCAAAATGGTAATAGCAACAACAACAAAAATATATAAAAAATGCCAACAAAAATAAAATAAAGTTTGAAAAAACAAAAAAAAAAATCTAAAAACGGACTAAAAGGCGAAAGTGGAAATCTGTAAGTAAACGAGAATAAAATATAATAAAGGTAAAACTAGACGATAACGTCATTTTGATAACTTTTACTACCCCCAACCAAAGCGTAGGGTGGACAATGGGTTAAGCCGGATTTGCTGGTATGTATGACGGGTAAAAGTGTTTCTATATATATACATATTATATATGGTATATATGTAACAAAGTGCAAATGCACCTAAGCAGTGGCAGAGTTCAGCATTGCCGTTTTAGTGCGATCGGATCAAAATTGGTAGTTTCATTGACCTAGTAGTAGTTTGGTTGGTAGGCATAAGGTTTTGGTAGTCATTATTTTTTATTTTAATTTTATTTTTTATCAGATTTATTTAGAATGAAAGTTAATCTTAAAAGAATTGCATACTTTCTTGCTTGCTAACATACTTGCTCATACTAACTAAAAAATGGTCATGAATGGAAACGCCGTGCTCAATCTGTGGAAAATGAGTGATCTAACTATAGTTGAAGCTGTGAAATAAAGATGAAAAGTGTCAGAAATTTGATATTTGCGCGAATATATTCAACTTAATACATCAAATTAAAGAAAACGGAGCTAATAGGCAAGTAAATATTTTAGTTTTACGTTATAAAATACAATTCAATTAACAACTTGACAATTATTTGTAGTGAAGAATGCTCGCCTGAACTTCAGCCCGTTCGAAAAATATGTTTTCTACAGGACTGCAAAGTAGACCTGCGTAGCAATGGGATCAAATCTGGAGTATACGGTAGATGGAGCAACTGTACGTAACTTGATTGGTTCAATTTGACCCCCATGCGATTTTTCATAAATTCAACATTTTAAATGAGAAGGTAGGATGATTCCATCGGTCCACAAACCACACCGAACCGTTGTTTTTTCTGAATGAAAAGGCATCTCTTGAATCTATTCAGGTTGCTCTTCGTTCCAATTGCGGCATTTTTGCTTGTTTACATACCAATTGAGTCAGAAATGGGTCTCATCGCTGAATAAAATTTGGGTCGAAAACGTCGGAGCTTTCTAGAGCCCATAGAGCAAAGCGATGTCACTTGGGAAGGTCGAACGGCTTCAGTTTTCGCACAATATTTGGTGCGCCAAGTCGTTCCATACGAAGTTGCTGCGAACGGCGCCGAATCGTCTCTCCACGGTCTTCGAGTATACTCTCAGCTACGGCCGCTATACTTTCTTCATTGCGTGCTAGACGTGATTTATTCGGTCGAATATTATCCAATAATGAATGCTGGGTTTCAAGATGGGTGATGGTGTTGCGAATAGTACGTTCAGTAGGCCTATTATGTTGAATATAAGTTGAGCGTAGCGCGCGAAACATATTCTTTACAGAGCGTAAATTTTCATAATGAAGTTGAACAATTTGTAAACGTGGTTGAGGCAAAATTCTTTCCATGATGAAATGCCAAACAATACTGAACAAAAATAATGCAACAGCTTGACACGACTCATGCTTGCTCTGTCAAGTAAAGGCTATTGGAAAAACTACTTTTACTTGGATCACCCTATATACATATGTATATTAGGGCGGGTCAAAAAAAAAACAAATGTTTTTTTTTCGCTCCGTATTCTGAGAAATTAGTTAATAGTAATTTCTAAAAAAGGCTCGCCAAGTATGAGCTCTTTATTGTAACGGGAAGCTGTTCCGCTAAACGGTTTTATATTTTTTTCCGATTATCGGTTAGAAGAATTCATATTTCGCTTCCAA